GCCCCTAATCCGAATCTAAATCTGAGCTTACGAGATAAACAGTCTATTAGGGAGAAGGGAGCGTTGCAGCGACTCCGAGCTCGAAACCTCGGGGGCCGGCTACATCAAAGGTATCGGATTGACGAGGAACCCCGCACATCATCGCGTTCCAGTTTATAGACCGACAGATATACATCCCCCTTGTAGCAGTCGCAGGCAATCGGATCAAAACTAGTGTCAAGTTAGCACTTTCTCGAGAAAACCATCACGGAAAGATTAGACGGCAGATAGTCAAATAAAATTTTGAGGAGCTACTCTTGTAAATTCTTCAAAAATGCTACCCCCACCGATCTAGTCAATACTCTCGTATCGGTCTTTTGTGAAAATTAATGGAACGTCGATTTTACGATCAAGAACCGAGTTTTGATCTTGACTGGCAATTCAAAAATGCAAAAGCGGATTAATATTTTTTTTTTTGTAAAGAGAACACAAGAAAAAATTTATTTAAATTGACTTTTGCAACTTTAAATTTTATTTTTTCAATTTCTCTTAAGAAAATCAATTACACTATTGTTTTGTCTAATGCTGTAACTTTCAGTTAAATGCGCGTCTATATATTTACGCGAGTTTTTAAAACTTTATACATTTAATTAGTAAACTGATAAATTTGAGTTTACAAAGTTTATTCCGTTAGAAAATAGAATAAATTGTAATAAAGTAGAGTATAATTCAGTTTCATACATATATTCTCACTCTATAAATTTATTAGTCCGCTTTTCAAGCTGTATGAAAATTACTTTGCACAATTATAGTCATCATAATATGAATTATAATTCGCTTCGATATTCGCGCAGATTTTTTTGAGGGTACACTTGACTTGAGTGCCGCTCACTTAATTATTGGCAATATTTAGTTATCGAGTGATACCATGTATTCCAATATCTAGGCAATTGAATCTGTAGCAAGTGGATTTAAAATTCCGGTAACAGTCGGTTATTTGATAATCTGGTTGTAATATACGAATGTATCGTTACGCGTTTTACAATGGAAAGAAATACACACGAAATTGCGTACTGAATAGTTTCTCTCGTTGCTAAATATTTCATTTTATCTAATTATATAATACTTATTGCACAAATTATTCATATAAATTTAAAAAATAGTCTGATAAATGATAATTTATCGATTGTATATCAGACATTTTTTTTTCTGCCGACTATATAAATGTTGATTATACTGTTCCGAGAAGCGCGAATTTGTTCCAGTTTTATAAAAATTCTTTGAATCGCACAGCATTATTTCCTGTAGATCGTTCAACATAAATAAAACAATATCAAAGAAATGAAAAATAATCGCGAAATCGTTGGAATTAAACGTGGAAATATTGCATTTTTCCGATATATTCATGCCTTATTTTCAACGCCGAGAATTTTTTTGGAACGCATTGTATTATCCGTGCGCTTGGGAGACTATATTTTATGAATTACATTTTATTTATAAAAAAAGCTATGACGTCGAACGGGAATCAACATGTCAGGTGGGCGTTTATTTTAGTGAACAAAAAATATTCGCGTGTTCATCCTGTCTCACCGTTTAATATCAGTGACTATAGGTAATTAAGGAAGGAACTGTGTAGGTGTTATCAAATTTATTGCCGATATACACGTCGACGCGTAGGATGTTAATGTCGCTGAACAGAGTAATTTCTTGTCATTCTGTTACAAAGAGCGATTACCGCAGTCTCCGGAATCAATTAAAGTTCTGCCAACATAAATTTAGTTTTCAGAACTTGCAGTACTCGTGATTATTATCAATTATATATATACTCTAAAATTATTGGAGAAACTATGTTATGACAAACAGATATAATTTTGCAATAAAAATAATATAATATGTTATATTTTAGTTTTCTTTGTTAGATTATTTGACAAATATAATCATTAAAAAGTACAATTGCTCTGCAAAATATTTGTTGCAATAAATTACAATGATATCGCAAAACATTCCAATTTTCTTATTATTTTTATAAGTTTATTGATATCAATTGTTTATAGACTCTTTATTTTATTTTAATTTTTAGCTGATTTTACTAATTGATCAGAAATGTCAGATCTACTTTCTAGATAAAAAAAGTTTAAATTAATCTCGATACGTTTTATAACGAGATTATTATATACTTTCAAATGCTTTATAATAGTATTAGATGCGTATAGTCTCTCTCCGATTATAATAAACGAGTCTAGCTGGAGGGCCGATTTTAAGTATGGCTCTATTCAAAATGCCATTAAGCCCGTTTCGCGGCTCATTCGTATAGAACATTTCTGGACTCGTACACTGAACCATCAGCTAGGCGAGGGAGATATGATTGACGAGCCCTTAAACGAAATGGGATTAATGCGCATGCAAATTTTGCAGTCTCGTGGGAGTCGGTCCCAACTCGTCGATAATAATTATTATTAATGATGAAATTAGTGCGCGGCTGCGTGTGTCGTTGCTTAGCTCCAAAACGATCCGTGAGAAATTGAGAGATCCACTACTTGTAGAATTGTTGCCATAAAGAGCCGCGTAAAATCTAGAATCAACTGTGAATTAATTAGCAATTAATAGCTTGTATATACGTGCAATTAAGGATATAGTTAAGCATTTAATTTGTAGATTATATGAATTAGATGGGAAGATACAGACAGAGCGAAATTCAAATATATATATATATATATATATATATTTGAATTTGAGGTATAATTTAAATTATTAATTATACCTCATAATTGTATAATATAACATTAGAGATATTTTATTATTAGTTAGTATTTGTATTTATAACTTTTATTTCCTGAGTAATAATAATCTTTATAATAGTCTATATATAATCTATATATAATAGTATAATCTTTGTAATACCAAAATTTAAATTTTGTCGACGACAAAGCTCAATTTGGGACATGTCTGATAATTTGTTAAGGAGGGTGATCGACGTCGGCAAAAGGGAATTAATTACAGAATTGAGGAGTTTCTAAACTTTAGAGAATGCACAGGAGTAAAGTATTCCTCGCAAATGGAAATGTAAATTATGGCGCGGGTGCATGCAAATGTTAAATTTTCCAGCCACTTTGCCAGTTGTGCCTGTTAGAAATGAAATTGCCGCACGGCCGTACATCGCACAAAGAGACTTCTGCAAAACCGAAGAAACTTCTGCGCGTTCTGTTGATTTGTATATACCACACGCAGAATTCTGTAAAATGTACTCCGTATAACTTTCAGAGCATATTCCTCGCGAAGCTGTTTCCAGAGAAAATCATGGCGCATCGCGATTTCAAAGACGTAATCTTAGTTAGCGAACTATTTACCAACTGCGGGGCTCCTCTCTCTTCTAGCATACAACATCTTCCTGATTTAATTTCTCGCGGAGGCACTATCATTTATCCAATTTCTGTTTCAGCAGTCCACAATTAAATCCATTTTAATTTTAATTAGCCAATTACTGATCATAATTGAAATGTAGAATTGTAAGTGACGAGATTCTTAACCGGTGATTACGATATTTCTATTTTAATTTCCGTGAATGATAGTGCATAATTTTATTACGATTGAATTATTGAAAAAGCTAGTTTCATCGAATCTACAAAGTCAAGTGTGCAAAATATGCAAATGTGATAGATAATAATGATACACATATCATTATATATAATATAACTCTGCGGCGCATAGAATTTTCTTCTTTAGATATACAAGACTTAAATGTGTAAAAACTTTATCTAATATTAATAATAACAATTCTTAAATTTATATTAATCTTAGAAGTTTTCAATACAATGTGCTTAACATAGATTTTTTGAGTGACAAAAAAAAAGTATATAAACATTTTGCATGTGAATTATACTTTATTGTAATGCGATTTTAATGGTTACGTAAGAAAATGTAATTTTTATTATTATTTCAAAATAAAATTATGCACTACATTTTATTAATAAATATTGAAAATTTATTATCTTCTAAATAAAATTATAAAAGATTTGATCTTGAAAACTTGATAGCAAAGTTTGCTTATGTAGGAAAACTTTTATATGTAAAAGAGGATTTTCCTTTTTTTTTTTTTTTTTTTTTTTTCTTTTTTTTTAAATTTTTTATTCTCGCGAGACAGAAAACGAGGAAAATCCGTTCGAGGAAGGCTGAGTATAATAGAAGCTCGCTATTTTGCCATTCACGAATAGATTTGTTCGAGGTTTTGGAATGAGTTGAGAAATCGTCGCGCGAACGTTGAATTTTCTCCCATAAAACGCTCCCTGGAGAAGGAGAACGGATGCAGCCCCCGTTCGCTATACGAAGGAGGGTGGAATCCGTTTCTCGGATTTTACGAATCTTCGACCGATAACTCGCTTCTTTACTTTCTGTCTTTCTCTCTCTTTCCATATTTCTCCTCTCTTTTCTCGACTTCCTCTTCTCAGACGTTGAGACGTTTGACGGAACTTGGAATATAAACGAGCCGAAACCCCTCATCGGTACGTCAACTCGAACGCCGGGGATGATAGATCGACTCTTTCGACGACACTGCGGGGGTGTAAAAGCATATCTTTAGGAGGATAAATTAGCGAGTTTGTCGGGACGTTTTTGGTAAAATAATTCCAATTTCAAAGACCGTAAAATTTTTTAATATATAATCGAAATAAAATTTGATGTTCTTTTTTAATGTAAAAAATTTTTACATTAAAAATACTTTTGTATGATCATTACTGCACTATCATAGAGATCCACGATATAGCTCCTTTTGATTTTGTCTAGAATTATAAAAATGCCTTTTGCAAATTTTACTTACAGCTAAAATAAAAAATTTTAATTAATAAATTTATTATTAACATTAATAAAAATAAATGACAAATAAAATAATAAATCAAATTTAATATTTGAGGGTGTAAAAAATTTAGTAAAGCTGCGAAAGTAATTTTATTTGTAAGGAGTTAGTGAGCTTTTTTTATGTGTGTATAATAGATATGTAAAATAAATATCTATGTTGTATATTTCAGGTTGATTTCGGCGACGTCTTCATACCGCTCGATTTGAAAGTACCAAAACTGCAAGTACTTCCCGAGTTTTCGAGATTGGCGCACGGTCTCCGCAGCGGTAATATCAGTATTCTCGATAGTAAAACCATCTATATTCCGAATTTGCATTACGACGGTGGTGGCCCGGACGCTTACTTCTGGGTTGGCAATGGTACGGAACCCAGTCATTTTGGTATCAAGGTCCCCAATGAAATGGGCAGGTCAGTTGAAATATAAACGATGAAATAAATGATAAATAAATTATAATTTGCGCATGAAATTTATATATATATTATCATTGATTTACAAACTAATAATTACTTATGTTTTTGGCATAATATAATAAATTATACTGGGAGTAAATAAATGAATTGTACCATTTTGATTATGCGATTTTAATTGATAAGATTATTTATTTGTGAAAGTTCATCAAAATCATGTAATAAACTTCAACCAATATTATTAATATATAAGTTATTCTCTTCGTTTACATTTTTATATATATTTTGAGGAAATAATATTATCTTAAACATTAAATTATATTGAAAAATGGAATATTTCGACAATAGAAAAAAGAAAATTGGGCTTGTATTTTAATTTAAAACATTATTCGACTTATCGAGATGATATTATTAATCTCGTTCACGGACAGCTTGGCACCATTGAGAGGATACCAAGGGGAGGACATTGAGATCGTCTTGCCGGGAAACTTGACAGTGTACGACATCGACTGGCTTGCGGTATGGTGCGTTGAATACAGACACAATTTCGGCCATGTTCTAATTCCAAGGGACGTCGACGTTCCTCCGGCTCTCGGCCAGACGAAAATTACGGTAAACTAAAATGAGTTCTTCAATCCGCCGGCTTGATATACGTTCCGAACTTTGGTACCTTACGTACCCTCATTAACGTCCAACTATGAAACGATAATAAACGCGACTTTGAGCGACACGATGAAAAGCTTCGTTTTATGTTATACAGACGTATTGAATACACTGTGAAGAGGGACATTTACGTTTTTACTTGATAAAATACACGTGGTAATTGCACCGTTAATATTTAAAGTTTAATGAAACTCGTGTTGGTTTTTGCTTTTGATTATTTTTAGACAGCTGCGTATCTCTTAAATAATATACCAAAGGGCCGTAAATTTTATTATAATAATTACTTAAGGGGACCGTAAAAAATTTTATTTGTTTAGTTAATAATATTGCATTAATATTGTAAAAAAAATTAAAAATTTTTATCAAGTCGTCGCGCTGCAAAAAAAATCTAAAAAAATGTACTCATTTTTCGAGGTTTTAAACGGTTATGCCCCCTTAATTTGTGTATCTTTTATATGTATATAACAAAACCATTATCACATTTATATTATTTAAATTCGCTCATTATATCACTATATTAAATTCAATGATCTCAATTTATTAATGACATCGCTCTCGATTTTCAAATGGAGCAGCCGCCGTGGTGGTACAATCCAGTAAGTACAATGCACGATCGATGCACGGATGATTTTGCTATATGACGGACGATAATCCACCGATAGTCATAAATCACAGGTCGCGATCTTTCCTCTTTTAGACAAGCAGCACACCGACGCCCAAGTCAGTGAACAACTGCAAGGAGATGCTGGGGGGCCGTGTTCAAGTGATGTGGCAGCTGATGGGCGAGGATGTACAAATACGGGTCTCGGGCCGCATCAGGGAGGACCAGTACGTAGCGTTCGGGCTGTCGGGTATAGACGGCCAGGCCGAGATGATCGGCGGCGATGTCGTCGTGATCGGATACGATAATAAAACCGGCAAATTCATCGCTGAGGATTACTACATGTCGGACATCGCTCAGTGCGACGGCAATAGGGGCGTGTGTCCGGATAAGAGGGTCGGCGGGAGAAATGACGTGATGTTCGTGCACGGGGAACGAAAGAATGGCATAACAACAGGTACATGTCTATCGTATAAACTTAATAAATGACGGTATTGCGATAGAAACAGAGGGAATATACCATTGCGGCTAATTGCGCGTTTATTCCCTTTGATATTTTACTTTTTATACGATTCAATATTGATTTCTCGCAGATACAAGAGTCAATATTAACAATAGTAACACAAATTGACAATAAGTAATTTGCGTGTTCTATAATTTTATAGAGTAATAGAGCGTCAAATAAGTGCATATTTGTAATTTTATTAAAAGATTTGTTTTATAATAATGCTTATATGTATAATTATATATACTGATTGATCTTTAATATTATTGACGACTATTTAAATGCCATTTGTCAATATTCCTATCAATATGAAATTATTTTTGGAGGTATTTAAGTTAAAATTGAAGAATTTATTATATAATAAAACACAAAACACGGGAATAATCATTGCTTATCGTGCGATCTATTTCAATTTCAGTTACATATACACGGCCGCTGAGGACCAACGAACCGGAGAAAGACAAGATGATTCCGGAAAGCGAAACGAGCGTGATCGCTGCTATCGGATCTCTGAATGCACGGGGCGAAGCCAATGCTCATGAGAGATTCGATAAGACCACTGAGGATATTCGTATCGATTTTACGTCAAGCAATGTCCACGAGTGTACAAACTCCCTATACAATATTCCGGACACTCCTGAGATCGAAGCCTGGAAACCGGCTGTTATTACGGATAAGGATACTTTCGAAGCTAGAATTGGACCGACTGGTTCGAAAAAAGGATATTCGCGAATAACAGGTATTGTGCTCATGGTGTATATTGTAGAATTATATATTTTATTTTTATTTCATTTTTATTATATATTTTATTTTCTATTTAACAATTAAGGCTACGTCCTATATTAATAGTACATAAAATTTCTCGATAGTGAAGACCAGATTAAAATTTAATTTAAATATATATATTTTTCAAATTAAGTTCTTTTAAATCGAATAAATATGATTTATGTAAGGATTAATAAATTTACTTATATATTTTTTATATATATAACACAGTTTGAATACTTTCTATCTACATCTGATTTTTAAATATTTGAATTATGAATATGTTATAAAGCAATTTCTAATAGTTTTTTTCTGTATATAATCAATATTGTAGGAAAAAAATAATCTCACAAAGAATAAAATTTATTTTATTCTTCTATCGCTTAAAGGAATAATGTTAAAAGACATTAGCATGAACATTATGATGACAATCTTAAAATTGTTTATTGTGTGTGTATGTGTGTGTGATTTTGTTTATTCATAAAATCTTAATATAATAGTGCTTAAAATTATGCTGATCTTTATTGTAATCTAGGTACACCCTCTTGGGGCATTGCGTGGTATATCAATGACTTGTTGATCCCAGAGCTCACCGTCGTGCGAGGTCAAACTTATACCTTTATCGTGGAGGGTGGAAACGATGAGACCAATCCTGCTAAGTGAGTTGTATTCTCATTCGCGATGACATATCTCAAAGTATACGTACACATTAGATTTATATCGCTATAATATCCCCGCGCAACATTGATGCGTAACGTTCATCGACAGGTATCATCCCTTTTACATAACTGACAGTCCAGAGGGTGGTTTTGGACAGAAGTCTGAAGCGAAACAAATGGAGGAAAAGGTATTTGCTGGCGTAAAATATGATTCCAAAGGATATCCCAAACCGACTGCAGCCGGCCGTTACTGCGAATGGGTCCGCACCACGGTGGACAACGCAGATAACTACGAAACGTTTAAGAGCTTCTTTGACACGCTCGAACTCAAGTGCAACATGGGTGAGCCTGCCAAGCTCGTATGGACCGTAGAACAAGACACACCGGACTTAGTTTACTATCAGGTACGAATTTTTATTTTAAGGAAAAGTCGAACAGAGATTCAACCGATTATTTGCACGAAGATATAAATTATTTCAATGGTATAAAAATAGCTTTTCATCAAAAGTTATTAGATTTTACGAAGTTTTCTTTTTAACATGTTATATAAAACTTTTATTAAACTTTTATATATCTTCTTCAGTGTTATACGCACACCCATTTGGGCTGGAAGATCCATGTTGTTGACTCAAACTCGTCGCAGGGAAACATTAACAGCGTCAATCAAGTTCTGTCCGTGTTTACGACGTTTGTGACGTCTATCATCGCACTCCTTTTATTCTCGAGATGAATCGTTAGATTTTCTTCTTTTTACGCGGAACAAGTGACGGAAGACAAAGATAATGATGAAAACTGGTCGATTTAAGATCACGAAAACTATATACACGATTGTTAAATCGGCGAAACACATACAAGGTTGTAAGAAAGTATTTAGCATGTAAGAGATTTACTTTTAAGGTAAAAGATTAGCAAAATATTTTTAAGACCTATCAGATTCAAAATATTTCATATTATATGATATATATTATATATAATATATACATATACATATACATATACAAATATATATATATATACACACACACACATGTATACACATTTACACGTATGACATGTACACAGAGACGCGAAATTTCAATATTCTTTAACAATATAAAATCGAACTGAGACAATAATGATGATCGGAATTGGGTAACCAATGAAATTCTGACAATAATTATGATCAGGTCTGGTTAATCAATGATATTCTGACAATAACTACGATCAGGACTGGATAACCGAAGAAATTCTGACAATAACGAACGGGGGTTTATTATTAGGAGAAGGATATCTGGTCAAAATAGTATCTGGGGCGAGCTGGTTAGCATATATAATTACATCTACATATAAAATTTGATGCAAGAGAGATGAAGATATGCATCAACAGTACATGTACAATGTAAATTTTGCACAAAGCTATAGTTGATCTTAATGTAACTTTAAATCGACGATAGTATGTAAGAAGTACATTTATAAATGCTGTCGACTTGACAATAATACGTAGTATAGTCAATGGGAGAGGATCGCTAACAAAATGTGAATTATGTACAAGAAAGTAAAGCAAAAAGTAATACTTAAGGGCGATGCAGGTTACAAACTATCCCCTATACGTGTAACAATGCTATAATATGTATATACTATATAGAGTGTGGATCTTCCTAAAACGGAATGAAAGTATAAAATGTGCCTTGGGTACAGATAAATAAATGTCTCTAATTACAAGGATTAGGACCCACTCGGCAAAGGGACACCGTGCAGTACTTTGGAACTGGTCTCTTGTGCGTGAAGCGTATAGCACATGGGTAAAAAGCTACAGTTTATATTATATTTTTAGAAAATATTATAGAAGAAACTCCGTTTTTCAAAACTGTTTCTTCAAATATTTAATGCGATTTTAATTATGCCGTTCTTTATAGAGTGACATAATTATCATTACACATTCGTGTGTAGAATTAAAAAATAATTTTCCGCAAATTATACAAAAGAAAGCAGCATGCGCGTATAAAATTATCAATGAAGAAAAACGGCCTGTAGCAAATATACTCATAATCATAATCAATAACCGCGAAACGTGCAAGGGATACATGCAGCCAAGAGAAATCAGCGGAATACATAATCAATTTAGGGTAGTGAATTTAGTATACGTTTCTCGCGTAAAAATTTTTAATGTGTCCAGCTCCTAAGTGCCGGGGTGTCCACAAAATTTACAGCAGAAAATTACTTGCTTATCGCACGAAGACCAGTCTGTATTTAATTACATGCGCATATATATACACAAATATCATACACATACAGAACAGAAAACTCTGAAACTTACATTATCTATAGCTTTACGAAGGACGAGACGTAAGAAATGTTAAGATCGTTAAGTAGGGCCTCGTACTAATTACTGTGTACGTAAGTAAATGACAATAAGAACACACACTTAATCTCGATGTTTGTGTCGCTGAATTTTCGATATGACAATACTTGAGAGCAATCTTTGAGAGATCAATAACGAAAGATCTTTGCTCGAAATGTAGACTATCGCTATATTTTTCATTCCTCTGTTTTTTTTTTCTAAAAAAAATCCTTTGAAAGTAACAGATTCTAGCTTGTAAGTGGATAAAACTCCTACTTCTGTGAATGACAATAATAAATTATCAACTTGCAGGATTTCCAATATAGAAGCGGGCTGCTCCCAGAAATGGCTGTGTGTTTTATTCCTTTTGATCATTATATAATTAAAGCTCGAAAATTTACATAACGAATTATACATGTACGGATCAATCATTCGATTCTATAAATGTACGAGACAAATTATAAACCGTGTATTATATTCTGCAATAAAGAATAAGTCGTAAGTCGCATAGGTGAAGTGTTCCATATTCGCATAATACATGTACAGATAATAATATATAGAGACAATAATACATACAACATATAGATAAATATATCATTCGTAGAAACTGTAGGTACAAATAAAATTTTATTATAATTTCAGCAATTAATGAAGTTAAGCTGAAACATTTAATAAGCTTTACCTCAAGTATAAGTACAAATAATTGATTCTCTTTTCAAAAGTTTCCTTGTATATGTTTTTCTTTAGAACATTACTTGTTTAAACTTTGTTTAAAAAAATTACATATAACAAAAAAGAATTCTCATGTACGTCTCTAAAATACAGACAAAAAAAATTAATAAGTTAAAGTTGTGAAAAAATCAATAATTTCTACATATTTCTTAAAGCCGAATCTATTTGCGTGTTCAAGAATTTTATTTGTTCTCGCGATGATGATGTTCAATTTATGTCATTTTTCCCATTCCCATTTTTCCAGGAGCAGCCCGATAACGTCCCAAGTTGTTAGTTCATAAGTAACAAATAATAGCTTAGATCCTAAGAAAACTTTTCAGCTATATTACGGTACATTAATACGTATAACAAGGGGATAAAAGAAACGTATTTACGCGAGAGCGTTTCTGGAAACTAAATTGAAAATACTAGTCATCCGGCACAGCATGCGAGCGGCTATATCGTCAATGTTGTACAGTTTCAAACGTGATTTCGAATTGTAATAGCGGTAATATTTAGCATGTAATGTTCTTACAGTTTTAGATTCTATCTTTAAATTAACATATACTAAAACGGTCTACTTATAAGCTTCCATCCATGCACGATTACTATATGTATAAGATATGTGCAGAGCGACGAAAGTGTGCAATGGGATAGAATGCAACTCAAAATATATCGCATTACCACGTATGGGACATTGAACGTTTACGCAATTTTCCATAAGTAACGGGATTCTGGCGAGAATTAGATACATAATCGCATTAATAGATAGATTTTATAAAAAAGTTTCGAAATAATATCTTTAGCATATTTTCTGTTGCATTTCAAATTTATGTCCTTTTTTTAGATTTTATACTTTCGCTTTTCGAAACATTTTAAGCGATATTATCGAAAGTATACTGCAATTATTTTATAATAATATCAATTTATTTTCAAAACACAAACACTAATACTTAAATTAGCAATTATCGTATTATATAATACGATATATATAAGTTCTATAATTAATATGAATCAATTATTAATGGTTGGTATTGGTAATTAATATTTATTTTGCATTTATATCGCTGTTCACTCGTAAAGTATTTCACGTTTAACAAAATTAACGCGATATTGCAGAAACTTCTTATGCATTTTCGTTTTATTTCTCCCCTTATTACTCATGCATTTCAAAATTAAACACAACTAGCTTTGGGTATACATGCGCAGACTAATAATTTCGACAATATATTATAAAAACGATCGTTTAAATACGAATGGTCTTGTAATTCCTCGGTAAAACGAATAATTATAGTTATAAGAGATCGAGGATAATTATTTTAAACTTTGTATTTAAGCAAGAATTGAGAAGCATTGTTAATATGTATGGAATACGATAAAGTCGAATCATATTGCGCTCAATATCTTTGCAAATATTGCATCTCACAAAAGATTTTTTTTGTGGTGTGTAGAATGTGGCAATTTCGGGACGATTGCAACAACATAAGCGATACTTATTTTTTTCTCTATATCTCTATGTTGTACATACATAGCTATATCTAGAAGAAAACGCGAGATATCATTAGTCCGAGTTAGTTAACGAAGAGAAAAGAATCAATGATGGGATAGGATGATTATGATAAGAATTTATTAAATTATGATTTTTTAATCTCCGAGAAAAATCAGTAATATGTGGACATCATAATTTAAAGATGTTAAAACAAATCTTGAAATATTTTTTTATGATTTTAAAAAATTGGGCCTCCAATTTACGACAGAAAGTAATACTTTCCGTTTGGTTAATTCTTTATAGCGCTATCAATTAAGATCGTTCAAATTTAGGTACGTTATATATTAGCTGATAATTTTACTAACTTTCTCAATCTTTCATTGTCTCATTGTTTCTTTTAGTAAAAATTCAAGTCTCGTCTCAATAGATGAAAAAGAAATTGAAAGTTTAATAACGCTAACTGATATTGATATTGATTCGATTTTTAGAAAGATTGAAAGATAATTATTCTTTCGAGAACCAATGATTCTATTGAAAAAAATCTGATAAGGCGGATAATGGTTATCTCGAAAAGCACCTTTTATGTACATATATCATTACACGCAAGAAGTGCATCTATTAATATTATAGGACGTTTCACGATTAAAGAGATTGGAATCGGTAAACAAGATTGATCGTCTCACACGACTTGTCGCCGCGCCAGTCGAATTGTATCCGAAAAACGTTTAAATTGTCAACCTTTTGTTTCTCTTCAACGTTTATGTGTTAGGCTAGCTTGTAACTAACAATTAACTTTCACACTTAATCGTCTAATCGTTATTCCCTCTATTCGAGGAGACAGGACTCCCGTCATCTCCCGTCTCAAATAAATTCATGATTCGTTAACACGCGTGCAAAATTACTCGCGCCGATTTGCCAAGGCGTATTATCAAGTTGTATACGAATTTAAATTCGAAATTGCGCAAATAATTATCGAAGCGAGCATTTGCACGTGACATCATTCTTTTACAGAAATAAATGTGAGGATAACCTTCACATAGCACCGCGCTGAAAGATAAAAAATAATAATCTCGTCGACCGATATCATTAGATAAGTCCATTTAATCAATTTCGTAAATATATAAACAAAACAAATATGACTAAAAGATGTTTGAAGATGTCCAACGAAATTGTTTGAACATGTTTGAGCATTTTTTATGTTAGCCATTTTTCAGATTGTACTGGCTTATATTATAGAGCTTCGCAGTTTTTTAAGATTTTGTTATCTTTCAGCGCGGACACACACGTGATATCGAATACTTTTTGTCTCTTCGGGTACTCTCCGTTTGATGTATTAATACGAAATTCATGATAATTTTTTCTCATATATTTATTCATTCCCTCTGAGAGTGAACTTGTCTAGAAGGTACTAAGATATCTGAGCGCACGGTTTTCCATCGTGTTGCGAGCAACCACGTAAAATAATCACTTAATAAAAAGTCAATCCTTACCGTTTAAATCGTAATTTGACATATCTCGTAAGATAAAAGAAAAAGTGTCAGTCGCGTGAGCGCCGTAAAATTTTCGGTCATAATTTAGATAGGAGATACTCTTTGTCGAAAATGTTAATTTTCTTTATATAGTCTATATGTAACATACTGTTTCGTAAATATCTCGGTTGATTTATTAGCGTTATTTGAAAGGCGCATGTATGTGACGTGCAAAATTACATTATACATTTGAGGGAAGACAAATTCTTTTTGTAAAAAGGATATTGCTCCCGCCGACAAAAGAAATGCACATCGTTCTCTTCGACAATAGAATAAATTATTTAATGAACCATTTAATTAACGACTCTTTGACATACAAAGACAACATCCATTTAGATTTATATGAAATGTAATTATTTATTTCAGAATATTATTCTTATATTGTATTGATTATGTTACTTCGTTGTCGCGCGTGAATCTCTATATTCGATGATATTGTGCAATTTGATCAGGATACAAAATGTATTAGAAGTGTCCATCAACTGTCATCGAGTTCTAAGTGTTGCTGCGAAATGTATCTCAGGATGTTTCTGCTCTTTTATCAACTATGAGTTTCGTCACATTTCATACATTAATCTTAATGGCTTTGATAGAGCTATATTTATTAATATTATTGGGTAAAAGGAGCATATATAAGTAATCACGAGGTATATGATATATTATGATTATGAATTATTGAACATTATATCAAATTTTATATTCACTTCTTGTGGTTGACAATAAACTGGTTTTATAAAAAAGAAAAAGGATGAAGAGATTGTATTTAATATGTCTGTTTAATGCACGGTGGTAATGCAAGGTATAAAAATGTTCTATAATATAAATAACATATCACTGTACACATATAGTTTTTTTTCATACAGTAAATGTACTAGACAAAATATATTATATATTTAAAATCTATTTTGGATATCCCCAAGGATCTTTCTTTTGATCCATTAGGATGAGAGAGGATTCACAGATCTTTCTGAATATTTCGCGCAATCTTCCTTTTGAGAATACCTAGAAAGATAGGATGAGTTAATAAAATGTGTATTTTTGTAAAGTTCATATATAAATATATTTACAATGTTTATATTTTGCTGTTAATACATACTTTGTATAGTTGATGTTGCTCGGAGGCAAGTATATCTGCCAGTTGAATACAGCCGTCATGCTCGTTCATTTCTGACATAACCGAATGTAGTAAAAGTGTGACTTTAGGAATACAAAGTTCACGCAGTTTCTCCAACTGATGTTCTCTGAGCTCGCCCTCGGATATGCACGACTCGCCGTTGTTGTTCTTGGAATCGATGAGCCAACCGCCATCGGGGAATAACAGAACGTTAAATAATAACTGTTTCACAGCCTGAAAATGGATATCCATGGATATTTTTCGTTTCTCTTATATTTCGTCTTAATATTTCTTACCTTTGTGTGATGTTGCATCGTAGATTTCCATCTTTCCAATTCTTGATTATACTGTGTCTTTCTATGATCATATGCAACTTTTTCCGTGAAAGTGGCATATGTTGACAATTCCTCTGGTGGCACAGGTTTACCATGATGATAGTGAGAGAACCATTCGTCGAAACCTTCCTGGGCGTCAAGGTACGTCTTATAACAGAGGTACTCTCTTATCGAAGCAGCCGCTTGTTTAGACATATTATTAGTTATTGTAAGATTCGTGAGTGTGCATTCCATACCAGAATATTCGGCCATAACCGATTCAATCGAATCTGACGGGATCTATAACATATAAAAACAGATATCATTTAACTATAAATTAATCAAAGTAATTTATATAGTGTTGTGTGTTTATAGATTATGCTAAATTTTTTCATGTATCAATGTAAAAGCTGTAACAATTAGTTATTTCTTAGTGTGTACCTTGTTAAATGCTTTCCGCGCCGCATCGAGCTTCTCCTTAGTTAGAAAGTATCTAATGAGTGCGTTTGTTTGCCGTAAAGCTTCTTCTCTCTGATTTTGATAGAAAATCAGCCAATCTAATGCATTAATCTTTTCCATATCTGCGTCGGTCATACTTCCTTTCAAATCCGTTGGATCGGATTCTGTGTTTTTCTTACGTATATTTTCCACCACCAATTTTATGATCGCTTCTATGTTCAAATTTGCATCCTCTGCCGCGCGTAAACATCTTTTGCGCTGTTCATACTCTTTAACATCCTCTAAGTAACGGGCATAATTAGTTATTTGTTCCTCTTGAGGTAGTGTAGCTGTATAGAACGCGATTAAAGTCGGATCGCCTATCTCTATAAGAACACGAACGTACGCCAGTAATACTTTGTCTTCTACTTTATCCTTTGTACTTCTCCCAATTTGTCTGAAGAACAGTATTAGATGTGCCAGGAATCTGAGGAATTGCGAATCGCAAACGCCGACATCAATCATACTTTCAATTTCCTCCATTAGTTTTGGTATTTGATCCAATATTATATATTTTTGTATTAAATGATCAGGTTTGTTAGATTGGGCACGTATTATTGGATTTTTCGATGCATGCAATTCCTTGAATGCGTCTTCTAACGAGATTTCGTTTTTCCAATATTCTTCTGGCATAGGGCTATACATTTTCATCATCATTAATCTCAGTGCTGATTCAACTTTAGTGTCTAGAAGGGTCTTCACATATGCCCACAATGCATCTTGCCAAGATGATGCTATCTGTAGTAGTAGTTGGACATTGCCACAAAGACTTGCAAATATGGCACGATAAAATATACCTGTATGGTAGAAATCTCTTATTTATATTCAGGTTTTATATAAATAAATACAAAATTAAATTTATAAGATGCATCATAAATTGGTACATATATCAAAGATGTTTTGAATAAATCTCTGTAATAATAGCTGTATTTAATTGCTAATAATTTTTATATTATTAATTTGTCATTTTTTAATGCATACAATTGCACAATGATATACATAAGCATGCCATGGTAGGATTTTCATAGGCAAATATAGTGTAGCAGTCAAAATATTAAAGAGATCTTTACCTACGCGTTTATCTTGAGACAGTTCCCAAGCACACATCTTCCATAGACTCCTATTGGGATTTCCTTCAATTGGTAATTTAGTGTCTGTTGATGGATTATTATAATTTGGATCATGATTAGGAATCCAGCCCAATAAACAAGCAGCTCTCCAAGGTTGACCACAATGCATAGCTAATGCTTGTGCTTTTTGAAGACGTCCACAACGTACCTACAATAGATAATTTCTTGAAATACAAGGCTTTATTATTATTGGATTATACTTTATTTCTTCTTCCAAATTATATTTATGGCTTTATATTTTTGTTGAAAGATTTGTGCGTAAATTTTGTTATAACTTCAGTTATATAAGAGAAAATACAGTTTATTTATACCTCTATAAACATTCTTTTTTCAAGTCTGGCATCATCTTCTTTGTCTAAATCATGTAATTGTCTACCTTCTCGTATCGGTGCATCAGGATCAAGAAATGATACTAGTGGTCTGGATGAGCTAAATGCAATTCCTAAATTTTGATTGTGCAATTGATGAACTGTATTTTCCCAAGCCACTGTCTTATCGGTGAAAAGTTCTACAGATGGATATCTATCTGCTTGATCTAGAGCATTCTTCTCTAACCAGTCAATAATCAATTGATATTCCCTAATGTAGCTTTCAGATTTATACAAATTTTCTATAATATTCTTTTCAGAGATATAATTATTATTCATATGTCCGTCATGTTCCATTTGAGTAGATAAACCGGCACTACTTATACGGTTTTGATAAAGGCAATATATTAGTCTCCATGTATTTCTCTCGCTCTCCAAAGAAATTTCCTCTTGAGCTATTTCCATATTTTCAACTTTTGATTGCATATCTGTCAAGATAAATGGTAACATTGTTTCAATGAAGTTTTTAACATACACACAAACATTTGCTATAATTATTATAATATAAAATATATATAATTAAATAGAGATATATATATATTTTTACCTCTCATTATATCCAATGTGTCTGCACAATTCTGTATAAAATCTGCGATCGTGTCAAAGATCTGTGTTTCAGAAAAGTGTGCTTGCATGCTCTGCAAGAAATCATAGTAGAGTTTCGCTTTAGCTTCTCGCCACGGTTCGTTCGCTTTCAAAATTATTCCAGTCGCTGCACTATCATCCATCATTTCCCTGATAGTGATATCATTTTTTTCCGAGCGTGCCATCATATCGCGAATTTCGTTAACCTCGTGATGGAAATGCAATCATTCATAAGACCATATCTATACAGCCAGTCAGCCGGTGCCGGTGCGCGCGGCTTCAACGAAATATTGTTGTTGGAGCAAAATTTTTCACGCATGCGCGACAATGTAATGCCAGTAATGGTGCTTTTACATTTGTCGTACGACAAGCTTTGCTGGACGTATTGATTGGCTGCCGTTGCGAGAAACTTTCGAAGCCATAGAAATTTACTATCTAATAGCCAATCGACATACCCGACGATAAATGTAGTGGCATCCTAAAGCGCACCAGACACGACATCTCTCTTTCTCTGTTTTCTGATACGCTATTCAAATTCAATTTCAACAATTTATTTTGACAGTGTTTGACAGTAACGGTGATAGCTGTCAGTAAGCTCAGATCAAAACAATTGGATAACAATGATGGATAACAATAATGAGGTAAATTAATTTTTGACAAGTTTAACCTTTTTTAATATTGAAAATAAAATAATATCAACTGTATTGTTAATGATATAAATTATCAATAGCTATTATTATTGGATATAACAGTTTTGTAAGTTAATGCATTAATTATATTAATTAAAAATAGGCAGCATCACTTTCATGCAATGACTCAATTTCTGCCGCAACTGGTGTCATAAAGTGTCAGAATGGGAATGTGTCTGCTGAAGAGAGGTTGTTGCTTCGACACTTGCAGAGAAGCATATCGGAGACAGCAGAGGAGAATATTACATTTACAAAAGAGATTACCAGTTTATTATCCAAATTACATCTTGAAGTCGAGACGCTGCCCAATGATGTGAAAGAAAGTTTGGAGAGATTGTCTTTGATTTTAAATGCTGAGAAATTATTTGAATTTGATGAAACTGCGCTACGTGTAATTAGAGAACGTAAGATTATAAAGGAGAAAAGGCGACAACGAGAGGAGAAGCGGATGTCAGTAATATATGACAAATTACTTAGAAGTTCTATGAGATTACAGACAAAGCTCGATCATCTGCAAGATGCGGTTGAGTCTCTCCAGAATACTATTGACACTACAGAGAAGGATAAGGACACTTTATACTGTAACAAGGTTTTATTATCTACAAAATTGAAAGATTATAAACAAGCTGTGGAGAAATTAGAAACAGATTTAAATGATATGCAGGTTGATGAACTTTATCCCGAGAAGATATTAAATAAATATAAATTATACTTAGAAAGCACAAGCAAATTGGCAGATGTTGATCAATCACTTGCTCAATATGGTGATTTACCGCCTAATTTATTACAGGCTAAATTATTACTAGAAAACAAAAGAAAAGAGTATAAAAACTTGGAACAACTGTTTTTAGAAAAAACTCAGTAATTTTGATTTTTGATCTTAAACTTATTTGTATATTCCAATATCTTCAATACATATTTTTTCTTTTCGTAGATTTATCACTTTATAATTACTAATGTATGTTGTAAATAAAAAATTATACACATAATTATAAACAAATTTTACAAAAACTTTATTTTTAGAAACCATATTTTGATTTTGTTTGTTTTCGTGCCATTCTATTCTGAGACCATTGATTTTTCAGTTCTAATTCCATAGCTTTTGCTTGATGCGCTAGATAAGTTATTTGATGTTTCTTCTTGGATTGCGAGTTAATTCCACAGCTTTGCATAGATACTGGCCTCTGCACAGGCTCCTCTGTCAATGCCTTCACCAACCACTCTCTTTGATCTGGTTTTATATCTTCACCATTTATTTCGATAATATCTGCTTTCGTCATCTCTTTGCGTTTTGTACCTCGTTTTCCACAAAGATACTCAATTGCTTTTTCATCAAAGGCTACATTACCTTGCATATCAACATTATATTCTTGCTCAGGGACAGGTAGCTTTGGACCAACTTCTGCTTTGTTTTTCAATAATATTTCTTCCTTAGGTAAATTTATAACATTACTTGTTAACGTTTTGCTTGAATTACTTGATTGGTCGTTTGTTAAAATATCAGAATTAATGGATGAAGGATTATGTGTTGTACGATCTATATGTTTTACAAGTGAAGCTTCTTTAGTACTTGATTTATATATAAGATCATCTGAAGGCAACTCTAGATCTAGTAATGCTGATACAGAGTCTGATATATCTTTATTTGTATCTAATCCAAAGAAATCTACTGATGTATCTTCTTCATCATCGTCAAAATTCGATTCATTATTCGATTTATCTAAAGTTTGTTTTTTCATTTTAGAATCATTCTGACTTGTACCAGATTTCCTTGTTATTGCTGACTGTTGAATATTTACTCGTGCTGCTGCATTCTTGACAGCATGAGGTATTAAAGATTTTCTTGTAGTCTCGTGTTTTGGTGATTCTAAGATCGCAAAGAGTCCGCAGCCTTTCTAAAATAATGAGCAATTCATGAATTTAAATCTCATCATTTGAAGTTATATTTGAAGAAATTTTTTTAAACTTACTTGTGATGACTGTATAATTCTAGCAGGTTTCTCTTCCCTCTCGTCCTCAAGATCCTTAAACTAATACATCAAATAATGTAGGTGTAATTTAACAAAAGAATTTATATTTTGTATGTGTCCTAAATACATACCTCTGATAAAGAAGGCACTGATATTTTCACGGTCTGCTTTTTTGTTGGCTTTATAAACTGACTTTCCGTTTTATTTTTCAACAAGATATCGTCCTCGTTCTCTTCGATATCCTTTAGAGAACTTGAATTTCTGGGTTTTGGTAGCATATTGAATAAATCTTTCATGTTATGTTCTATAGCGTCGTTTTCTTCTTTCTCATCCTTAAACTAGTACAGTTTATTAAATAGTAGATGTAATATTTATAAAAAAAAAATTTATATTTTCTATGTGTTCTGTACAAATACCTTCCCCTCGTTTTCGGAATCCTCATCACTGCTCTCATACGCTACGAGGCTCATCTTCAATTATATATTAATATATTATTAATATGATTTACACTTGCTTGTGTACACTCACATGCACTGTCAAGGAGATACTCAAGGCTGGAAGAGATTCGAGTTACTGACGCATATCTCGTTTGCGTTAAATGATTGTGTACATTGTACATCAAAATTGATTAAAAAGAGCATATTTTACCGACATATTCGGTTATCTACTATCGATACTTATAATGTGTGAAGAATGATACACGCTGCCGTTTTTCGAAAGATGCTTTTTCTAGCTGGTACAGTAGCGTCAACTAGATTCATTTTAGAGTCGGCGAAACTACATGGCCAGGTTCACTTTTCGGTACTACGGTAAAACGGCCGATTGGTGCATGTTCATGTTAAATCCATTTATGAATCAAAATTGTAATGAAATATTATGGATTTATTAATCTTTTATTAGCTGCGCGTGATATTTTTCATTCTAGTATAAAAATAAACTACAAACAGCGATAATAAGTTATCATTGAAGTATTTTTATGTATATTATACGCATGTGAAATAAAAAATAAATTTTCTTCAATTAATTTTCTTAATAACTTTTTCCTAATTTTTAAATATAATGTGTAGAAGATATTTACAATAAATTGCTTTTTTTTCTTATTCTTGAAACAAAATTTATGGAAACATAAACATAATTAAAACTATAAAATAATTAATATTACAGTCTTTTGAAAATAAACGTAATTTTTACTTGATTAATAATATTTTAGCAAAAAACGCAATATTATTCGGATAAATTTTAATTAGATACCAATTTAAAAATTAGATAAAATTTTTTTTCCTTATCTAAGTAAAAATTATCCGAATTATATCGTGTTTGAATTTTAATCGTAAAAGTCTCATTAACCCATTAAAATTATTTTCAAAAAATTACTTTCTAAAATAAAACATAAATGTTTTAGTTTTTATTACATATGATTTTTGAATATTATAGATAAGTAAAGGTCTCCGATGCCATCGAAAGCGAGAGCGAAAACGAGTAAATAATAGCAAGCAAGATGACGTAAAATAAAACTTTTATATTATACCTGTTTAAAAATAATTTTAATGGATTAATGATTTTTTGTGATTAAAATGATACCAAACACGACATAAACGGATAATTTTTAGTTAAATTTGTGACCAAAATTTTTATTATTAGTTTAACTAAAAGTTATCTGATTTATGTTGTGTTTGATGTCATTTTAGTCGCAAAAATCTCATTAATTCATTAAAATTATTCTCAAACCGATAAAATGCAAATAAGAATCTTTCTCAAAGTAAGAATCGAAGTGACGGAAATCTAAATTATAAATTATCGTTTTATTGCGATCCTTATGAACAATAATTATTTTTCTATCGATACCTAGAGTAAAGATATTCCTATGCTCTATCTCTCTCGTACAACTTTTTGAGTATTTAAGTATAATTTGGATTGAAATCGCATAATTAAACAATAGCATCGCAGGATCGAGTAATTAGCATAACTTCGTGAAAGACTTCGTGATATGTTAACCATTAAATAAATAATTAATCTATAAATTAAGATATTCCTATAATTTAATATTTCACGTATATATATATATATATATA